ATAGCCATGACTTAATTGATACACTCCAATTTAATCTGAATACACATCAATAAAAAAGAGGCTCCCCTGGGTTTGGTGTGGCTGATAGGGAAACAGTAGACCAGGCTTCTGTGGAGGAGCAGTCCTCAGCATCATGTGTATAGCCAAGTCATAAATTAGGGAGAAATACTCTAAGTATGTTAAGGCCACAGGAAAGTGATGCAGGCAGGTGTCCCGGGAAATTAAGACACCCAGCTCAATATGCTGCAGAGCCCGGCTGCTGACTTTTAGGAAAACAGAAACAAAAATTAAGGACTCATTCAAAAAGCCAGCCTGACTCAGACAACCAATACGGCTGCAGCCTGTTGATCATGGCCTAAATTCTTCCCACCAGTAACCTAGAGAGCAGTGTGGAAGGAAGCTGCAAGCTTTGCCAGTGGTCCACTCCCTTAGTTTTTTTGTTTTTTGTGTGTTAGTAAAGGTTAACAGGACAGAGTAGAAGATGGAAGGAAAGAGGCATTAACATACTATGTGGCTTGACTTTCTATGTTTCAGTCTCCGTTTTCACAGATATGGATAAAAGGACCATGCCTGAAAACACACACACACACACACACACACAGGTGATAAGATCATTATCTCAGAAAATACCTAGGACAGTTTCACGGAGGCAATGATTTTTATAAGAATTCAATACATTTTTGTATCAAAAACATGAAGGTAGATAAAAGGAAGGAAGAGGAGGAAGAGTGAGATGAAGAAGAAAGGAGGAAGAATAGGAAAGAAAATAGGGAAGAGAATATTGACAATGGAGGATATTTAAAAATGTGAGTAAAGACAAAAATCTAGTAATGTGGAATGTACATAAATAGTAGCAAAACGGCCAATCTGATAGTAGCAGTGCACACAGAAGCAGAACATTTTCAGATGGATGATTATTCAGCCAGGCTAAAATCTCTACTATCAATAAATGAAAATATTAAGAGAGAAGCATAATTTCTCTTATTCTAGATACCAGATATGATTTTTGTAAACCAGAGAACAGGAGAATATGTCTGCTTCTCAGCATTGTAGTTCATAGCGTCACTCAATCAATCAAATATTAATTGGGCATCTGTCAAGCCTAGCAGCATGCAAAATGCTATGAGTAATTCAGAAATTATATGCTACTATATCTTTAATTGGAGTTTAAATCTAGATAGCAGAATCTAGAACATCTACAAGAAAAAAGAGTTTGAATAAACAGATAAATAAATGTGCCTTTAAGTCTTTACCTCCAGTGTACAGAATCAATAAGCATTTTCTCAGTGTTTTGTATTTGCAGTATTGTTACATATTCTCAAAGTTAGCCTCGTTGCGTTTTTAATTCCTTTCCTTCCTTTCTAGAACTTACTATATCTAGATATGCTACTACATACCAGTCAATATGTTAGTCAAGAGAGCAACAAGACAGAAACAATGTTGAAAAACAGGATTTGAAAACCCCATTTTAGAGAAGAGTTAGCTGAGATTAAGAATAGTTACAAAATTTGTTCAGGGTCACACGAGGAACAAGTAAAGGAGCTGGGATTTAACCCAGGCTTCAAAATTTAAAACCATTGCTTTTATTCTGAGAAAAATATAATCCCTGCAAACTGTAATTTACAGATTACAAGACCCCCTCATTTGGTTTGGAAAATTCCTCCTGAAAGAGGAAACAGTAAAGTTCAGTTTGGTGTCAGATAACATGCTCTCCAGAGGCCTGCTCATTTTCAAACAGGTGATTATTCAATCTGGCTGGAATATGATGTTTTTCTTCCTACATTTATGTTTCAATGTTCGTCTTTTTTCTTTCTTTTCCTTGAGAATCTGTTTTCAATTAAGATTTCTAATTAGATTCCAAGTTTGAGACACATCTCTAGGAGAAAGCAAATGGCAGAAGTAGTAATTAAAAAGCAGCTGTCTCTTGTCTTTCTGGGATGAAACAAGCCTTTTTGTCTGTAAATTATGAAATCCTAGGAAATTCTGTGATGTTTGCCTCTGTTTTTAATAACAGTCAACTTAATTGGAAGGTGCTGAATTGGTCTAAAAAAGTTGATGCCCTTTCTAACACATATGCTGAAAACATCTCTTCTAGAATAAGCATAAATCAGCTCTGGGTTTTTGAGACTTTCAGTGCTGCAAAGTCTAAAATCTCCACATTTTATTGGGAGGCATGGTAGCTCATGCCTATAATCCCTGCTCCTCGGTAGGCCAAGATACACGAATCACTTGAGCTCAGGGTTTCAAGACCAGCCTGGGCAACATGGCAAAACCTCATCTCTACGAAATTAGATGGGCATGGTGTAGTCCATCTACTGAGGAGGACTGTAATCCAAGCTACTGAGGAGGCTAGGGTGGGAGGCTCACCTGATCCTGGGAGGTCGAAGCTGCAGTGAGCCACGACTATCCCACTTCAATCTAGCCTGAGTGACAGAGTAAGACCCTGAGTGACAGGATGAGATTCTTGGAACATAGCTATTTCTTAAAGATGAAATTTTTCTTTAAAGTACTAAAGTAGGCATCTGTCTTACTTTAAGACTTTTTCAGAAGCCTGCAGTATAAAGCTTTATAAATCAAAGAGAATAAGCATTTTCAAAGGAAGGAAATATGATTCAGATTAACTGAGATACAAACAGTAATTCATGTAGTTTTTCTCTGTTTAAGAGAATGAATATCACTAATGCTGATGTTGAAAATTATTTAGGAAGCTCTTACTCCAGTTGTCCTTGATACCTGAGGCTATATTTTCACATATGAAGTATAATCAGAATTTGAGGAAATTAACCATGTAATTAAGGTCAAGAAAAATCTTCTGCTGAAAAAAACTAAACCAACGATGCAAACAGATATTTTCTTCTTGCTTGCATTATCTAGAGTCTAGAAAATTATCTAACATAGTTTAATGCACATAGCCATAAAATAGGTCAAGCTCCATAAAAGCAGGCCAGTCTCAGGTTAAAAAAAAAAAAAAAAAAAAAAAAACTTCTTAAAATGTATATTCCCAAGAAGTAAACATTTGAAAGATTTCTCAATATAATTCTGGAAATGACTTCAGGAAATATTAAGTTAAATAAAAGTACACAAACACACACACACACACACACACACACACACACACACACACACACGGGGGTAAGGTGAGGTCAGGTGATGATTTGAAAGCATCTATATTGAGGGGACCAGGAGAGAAGACCAAATGACATCACACAGAAATGAAGGCAGAGCAAGTCCAAAGGCATCTTTTTTTAAATTGCATTTTGGGTTTTGGGGTACATGTAAAGAACACGCAAGATTGTTGCGTAGGTACACACATGACTGTGTGATTTGCTGCCTTCTTCCCCTTCACCTATATCTGGCATCTCCCCATGCTATCTCTCCCCAACTCCCCAGCCCCCACTGTCCCTCCCCTATTTCCCCCCGGACAGACCCCAGTGTGTGATGCTCCCCTCCCTGTGTCCATGTGTTCTCATTGTTCAACACCCGTCTATGAGTGAGAACATGCGGTGTTCGATTTTCTGTTCTTGTGTCAGTTTGCTGGAAATGATGATTTCCAGGTTCATCCATGTCCCTACAAAAGACATGAACTCATCGTTTTTGATGGTTGCATAGTATTCCATGGTGTATATGTGCCACATTTTTCCTGTCCAGTCTATCATCAGTGGGCATTTGGGTTGGTTCCAGGTCTTTGCTATTGTAAACTGTGCCACAATGAACATTCGTATGCATGTGTCCTTATAGTAGAACCATTTATAATCCTTTGGATATATATGCAGTAATGGGATTGCTGGGTCAAATGGAATTTCTATTTCTAGGTCCTTGAGGAATCGTCACACTGTCTTCAACAATGGTTGAACTAATTTACACTCCCACCAACAGTGTAAAAGTGTTCCTATTTCTCCACATCCTCTCCAGCAACTGTTTTCTCTAGATATTTTAATGATCGCCATTCTAACTAGTGTGAGATAGTACCTCAATGTAGTTTTGATTTGCATTTCTTTAATGACCAGTGATGATGAGCATTTTTTCATGTTTGTTGGCCTCATGTATGCCTTCTTTTGTAAAATGTCTGTTCATATCCTTTGCCCACTTTTGAATGGGCTTGTTTATTTTCTTGTAAATCTGTTTTAGTTATTTGAAGATTCTGGAAATGAGCCCTTTGTCAGATGGGTACATTGCAAAAAATTTTTCCCATTCTGTTGGTTGCCAATTCACTCTAATGCCTGTTTCTTTAAAGGCATCTTACAATGGATATTAAGCACCTACGGGACTAGGCTTTTCATCTTATTTTCAACCTAACTTTGTCTTATATGTCTTCCCTTCTGTGACTTTGGTGTAGCCACACTATCCTCCTTTCAACTGTTTTCTTTCTTTTTTTTCTTCATTTATTTTCTTTATTCAATGTTATTCTATCTGCCTGGGACTCTTTATTCTCATATTTTAGGTCTTAGTTTAAATATCATCTTCCAGAGAAATAGCCTCTGTTTACCCAATCCACTGTATTTTTTTTCATTTGTCTCTCAATATTTTATCCCATTCTGTTATTTTACATCGTAACATTTATCACAGCTTTTACTTATATATTGTTATCTACTGAATCTCCTCTGCTGGACTGTAAGTATTCTAAAGGCAAAATGGACAATGCCTGTTGTGTCTAATTCTATAAAATCACCTTACAGATGAGTATTTCCCAAGTAATGCAACTTTAGTGCATGTATATTGATTTAATAAGAAGTAATAATATTAATTTGTTAATTTCTTCACATTTCTGCCTAGGCTAGGCCTGGCCTACTAAAACTCTCAAAATTAGTTTAAGGTATTTATAGAAATTAATTTCTCTATAAAATTATGGCAAATCATCTATATAACATGCAGTCATACATATGCTAAAACACCTAACTGGCATTATTGTAAAATATATATTTTCTTAAAAAGCTTGAATTAATCATCAGTTTAAATGAATATAATGCATTAATGTTACATGTTAAGAATGACTCTTGTACCTGATTTATGGCGTTTTCCTTGACTGAACTGCTCTTTGATTGTTGTTTTGCTGGTTTCAAGACTCTACAAAAAAAAAGAAAAAGAAAAAGAAAAAAAAGTCAGGATTTAATGTTTACTGAAAATTTTCTTAGTAAAGCACCCATAGGTAAAGTGTTTAATATGCTTATAATGTGCATCATTGAAACTTGGGGATTTATCATCATAACAAGATTCATGGAACATAGCTATTTCTTATTTCTATTACAAATTAGTCAGCTTCATTCAGCCCATAGAACTCCTATAGAACAAATTATAGCTGATCCTTGTTTGCTGCTTAAGTGTGCTAAGTACTATCCTATGCCAGGCACTATTTTAAGTTACATGGATTAACTCATTTATTCTTCATAACCATTCGGCAAGAAAGGGTTAACTCAGCAGGCCTGAGTTACTCAATTTCTGCACATCACAAAGGAAGGTGAATCTTCAGGTCTGACCTTCAGTTGGCTTCTGGGAGATAACCTCTAGATAGAAAAGTCTATCTAATATGAGTCTATCTAATATGAGTGTGTCGTATGCATGAGGCTTTAAGCTATGCTGTTTCAGATGGATCAGATAAATTTATTCTAAAATGTGATTTAAAGTGAACACTTATTTTTCTTGGGGGAAGGGAGTCTGGTATCTGGATCATCCAGTGCTGCATGTTTATGTGACTGACATCCGATAGAATTCTAGAAACCAAAGCTTGGCTGAGCTTCCCTGGTTTACCACACTTCATGGGTTATATATCATTTTGCTGGCAGCTTTAATCACATCTCCATGTTCCTCCACTGGCGGGGGGATACCAGGGAGTTTGTTTGTGGACTTCGCACCATGAAACATTTCCCTTTGCTGTTCTTAACTTATATATTTTCACTATAATAAAGCATGACTATGATTATACGGCTTTCTGTATCTTAGTTGATATGGTTTGGCTGTGTCCCTACCCTAATCTCATCTTAAATTGTAGTTCCCATAATCCCCAAATGTTGTGGGAGGGACTCACAAGATCTGATGCTTTTATAAGGGGCTTTTCTCCCTTTTGCTCTGTGCTTCTACTTGCTGTCACCATGTGAAGAAGGACATGTTTGCTTCCCTTCCATCATAATTGTAAGTTTTCTCAGGCCTCCCTAGACCTGTGGAACTGTAAGTCCATTAAACCTCTTTCCTTTATAAATTATCCAGTCTCAGGTATGTCTTTATTAGCAGCAAGAGAACAGACTGATACATTAGTAAATCTTGAAGGCTAAAGGTGGTCTTGGGGACCCACAACACAACCACCTTATGAGAGAGGTACTATTATTATTATTATAGAGAGAGAATTTTGCAAAGATAGGTAGAATAATTAATTCCATCAGAGTTACACAGGTAAACAGTAGAATTTGAATTTGAAACCACTGATCTGGTTCCAGAGTTTGGGCATTTTACCGCTATATATCACGCTATTTATAAATAAATTTACTATTATATGTAATTCAATAAGTGTATAAAAATGCTACCTGGTTCTTCTATTTTATTATCCAGAATAATAGTTTTCAAATTGCAAATTTACTGTCAATTACCAAGATTTTGTATCATTTGGTCAGAAGATGTAGGAACTCATTGTATTACAGTTATTCTTTAATCACTGAACCTTATTTGAAAGAAACCTTCCAGATGTGATATAAGATTTTCTCATTCACATTATCAAATATCTCTTATCATTCCATATAATTTTCAATATAAGAAAGTGAAACTACGAAGATAAGCTTTAAATCATACCAGGCCTTATTTAATTTGGAGGAAAAAAAAAAAAAAACTCCAATTTTTCTTAAGATTTCTCATTTTTTGAGCCAGGTAGACCCAGAGTTGCTTTGAAGGTAAGTGTTAAGAAAAAAATAAATAAATAAACATGTTTCGTAATAAGAGAAATCATGCAACTAATCACTTAGTTCCAACTAGAGAAAATACAAAACACCTACTGATTACTAAACACAAAAGAGAAAATAATGTAGAAATGTCATAAGTTTGCTATACCAAACTTTCATTCAGGTAGATTTTACAAGACACTTTGGTCTAAATATTTGTGGTTCTTAGGTGTCTAAGATAGTAGTTTTATTTTAATGCTTACACAAAATCATAATTTATCTTTAAATTTTTTTTTCAAATCTACCCAATGCTAAGCATTGTGCTCTGTTGTACAGAGTAGATGGCCGTGCCCTGTCCTTATTAACAGAACAGACTGCAGATCTCTTCTGGATGTTTTAGCTGGCATTACTTCTGCAAAGGCTATCAGTTTACCTTGCAAATAAAATATGAACATACAGCGGCCAACATAGTCTCATATAGTCCATAGTGTCCAAACAAGCCATTGCATATTTTTTTAAATACAGTAATCCATACAGAAGAAGGGCAAACACTTTATATAGCAATAAAGAAATATTTCAAATATAAACTGGATAACTGTGTAAGTCCAAAGGACAAAAGTTTATGATGCAGAAAGATCAACTGTCTTATGTGAGCCTGAGTCTTTCAGACATTGTTTTTTGTTCCCATTATGGAGTCATTCATTACTTGTCAGCTCCCATCATGTAGCAAGAACCAATATTTACTAAAACCCACTGAAGTGTATAGTCACCTTAAATACACATCCCACAGAGTTAATGCAAACAAGATCTTATTTAACATTTATCATTACCTTCAAGATAAATGACCAAATGGGATATTTTCATTAATTAGGACATAAAAGTTTTTTTAGTAGAAAATTCAAAATTCTAAGTTAAACAGCTTTTGGGTGTTAAACTGAATTGAACATTATTATTTAGAATTAAAATGCAGAACATTCCAAAAAAACTGAGGTGACCTCATATTGTACCTCCACTTTATTCTATATAGGCCAGTGCCTTCTTTGGTTCCTGTATCCATTTCTTTTGTGGCTCTTGATACGGGGTTTGGATGTTTGTCTACTCCAAATCTCATGTTGAAATACGATTCCCAACATTGGAGGTGAAGCCTGGTGGGAGGTGAAGCCTGGTGGGAGGTGACTAGATCCTGGGGAGGATCCCTCATGAATGGCTTAACAACATCCCCTTGGTGATAAGTGAGTTCTTGCTCCAAGTTCACATATCTGGTTGTTTAAAAGTGTGACACCTCCTCCCACCTTGCTCCCTCTCTCACCATGTATGTACCTGCTTCTCCTTTGCCTTCCACCATAATTGGAAGCTTTCTGAGGCCTCACCAGGATCAAATCCTGGCACCACACTTCCTATGGGACCTACAGAACTGTGAGCCAATTACATCTCTTTTATTTATAAATTACCTAGCCTCAGCTATTCCTTGATAGTGATGCAAAAGCAAACTAAGACAGAAAATTGATACTAAGGAATGGGGTGTTGCTATAAAGATAGCAAAAATATGGAAGCAGCTTTGGAAGTAGATAATGAGCAGAGGCTGGGGAAGGATTTGGAAGGCTCAGAAGAAGCAGGAAGATGAGGAAAAGTTTGGAACTTCTTAGAGATTGGTTACATGGTTGTGATGAAAATGCTGACAGAGATACAGACAGAGATGTCTAGGCTGAAGAGATCTCAGATGAACATGGGATATTTATTGGAAACCAGAATAAAGGTCACCCTTCTTAGTCCCCAGCAAAGAACTTGGTTGCATCTATATCCTAGGAATCTGTGGAAACTTGAACTTAAGACTGATGACTTAGGGTGTCTGGCAGAAGAAATTTCTAAGCAGCAACACATTCGATATGTGACATTGCTGTTTCTAATAACCTAGATCAGATAAAAGAGCAAAGAAATGACTTAAAGTTAGAACTTCCAATAAAAATGGAAGCAGAGTATAAAAGTTTGAAAACTTTGCACCCCGGCCATGAGGCAGAGAAAAAAAAAATCATTTTCAGGAAAGGAATTCAAGCAGGCTCTAGAACAACTACAGCTAGAGAGACTGGCATGACTAAAAGCAAGCCAAGTGCAAATATTGAATACAATGAAAAAAAGGCCTTAAAGGCCTTTTAGAAGTCTTCGAGGAAGCCCCTGCCATCATAGGCCCAGAGGCCTAGGACAAAACAACAGTTTCAGGGTCCAGGCTCAGGACCCCGTTGCTTTCCATATCCTGGCCACTCCATCTCCAGCCTTGGCTCAATGTGGCTTCAGGTACAGGTGTAGCTCAGGCCTCCACTTTGAAGATCACAAGCTGCTATAAGCCTTGGTTGCTTCTAAAGGATGTTAAGTCTGCAGGTGCACAGAATGCAAGAGTGAAGGAGGCTTGGTCACTCCCAGCTAGATTTAGAGGATATATAGGAAAGCTTGGTTGCCCAAGCAGAAGCCTGCCACCAGTGCAAAGCCCCAAAAGAGAAACTCTACTAGGGCAATGCTGAGGGGAAATATGGGATTAGAGACCCACAAAGAGTCCCACCAGGGCACTGCCTAGTAGAGCTGTGGAAAGGGGGTCACTGACCTCCAGACCTGAGAATGGTAGAGCCACCAGCAGATTGCAGCTTTAGCATGGAAAAGCTGCAGGCACACAACTCCAGCCTAGAAAAGCAGCCATGTAAACTGTACCCACAGAAGCCACAGAGGGAAGGCTTCCTAAGGCCATGGCAGCCCAGCCCTCACACCAGGTTGTGGAACATGAGGTCAAAGGAGATTGTTTTGAACCTTTAAGATTCAATGACATCCGTGCTGGGTTTCTAACTTGGGTGGGGCCTATTGCCCCAATTTTTGGCCAATTTTTCCCTTTTGGAATAAGATTGTTCACCCAATACCTGTACCACCATTGTATCTTGGGAGTAAATAATTAGTTTTTTGTCTCACAGGCTCATAGATGGAAGGAACTAATCTCCAGATGATACTTTTAGATTTGGGGCTTTTGAGTTAATGCTTGCATGGGTTAAGACTTTGGGGGACTACTGGAAAGGCATGATTTGTATTTTGAAATGTGAGAAAGATGTGAGATGTGGGGGTGCAGGGGCAAAATTATGTGGTTTGGATGTCGTCCCCTTCAAATCTCATGTTGAAATGTGATCCTCAGAGTTAAAGTTGGGCCTG